GGTGGAATCGCGCTTTGTAAAACCCCTGACCCGTCCGTGGGCACCCTCAGCCAGCAGAGACCCCCCCTCTGCAACCCCCTCCCCAGCCTCCCGGGGCACAGCCGCCCCCAGCAGCCCCCCCAGGCTGCAGGGACCCCCGCACACACGGGCTCTGCTCCCTCCCTGCCCCTGCGGGGGGAGCTGCGTGTCCAGCGGGGGGGCTCGGCCCGCAGCCCCCTCCCCTCACCCCTCTTCCTGAAAAGCCTCTTGGCCAGGTTGTTAATCGCTCCAGGTGTTTTGCTTTCGGGGTGTGAGCAGCCTGGCATGGAAAGGCAAAGCTTTTCTTCAGTCCCTGACCTGAAACGAGTAACAAAACGGGTCAGGGAGCAGCGATTTCCCCTGGGACGGGTACCCGGCTCGTTTTGCTGCACACAAAGGGCACAAACAACAGGGCAGAGTGAAGTGTCTGCCTTCCCTGAAGGCCTTTGGCCTCGCCGGGTGATGGTGGTGACAGTGTGTGTACGTGGGTCTGGGGTCTGAGGGAGCCTTTCGAGCAGCACAGTCCAGATTCATCATCCTCATCCCCATCTCCCTGCCCTGCCAGGCACAGCTGATAACTCCTCGGGATGAAAGCTGGCTCCATCTGGCTCTTCCATTTCACAGGGCACAGTGCTAACTCTCCTGACATCCAGACCATCTTTGGAATGAGTCTCTGTCTTATCACAGCCCGAGGAGATACAGCCATAGGCTCTCCTTAGAGTGGGGGGTTATTTTTATCTCTTCAGAGTCCACTGGCCTTCAAGGAAAGCATCTGAACTCTAAAAGCACAGTGTGTTGACTGTTTTCTTGGGACATCCTGATTTATAGAGACTCCTCCAGTCCTGAAGTGCAGGTCTGCATGTGGGGTCACTTGTGGGTGCCCTAAGATGCTTTTTATGGATGTCCATGGGACTAAGACTGCCTGTTCCTCAGGATCCTCAGCTTTTCCAGATGAGAAGGGAAGGGACATTCCCCACATCTAGAGGTATATAGCCATACAGGTATGTACTGCACCCATTCAGGTACATCATCCCAACCTTTGGTAAAAATGCTTTCTCCTAAAGAGAGAAGAGGCTCCTCAGAGGGAAGCCTGGCTGGCTTTTACCCTTCAGAGGCTGGATTTCACAACCCTCACTTTTTTTTCCCCAGTCCTCTGTCATTTTCCACTGTTCTCTTCCTGCCTGTCTCTCAGCAAGGTCTCTTTGGTTTCAACCTACAGTGTCATTCCTGTCTGCACAGAAGTTGGGGGCTCCAAGACAAGGCTTGTGCCCTGCAGAGAGGAGCACAAGTGGAGCCTCTTGGCTTGCCAGGGCAGGAATCTCACAGCTAGCAGGGCCTCAGCCTCTGCTGTGGATTTCCTCTGCAAGCTGGGGCAGGTCCCTGTCTCTCCTCTGGCCTCTCCCCCTCTGCAACAGCACGTTCCTCTGCAGGAGTCACCACCACGGTGGTGACAAGGGCAGACGTGACCCTGGAGTGAGCGTGGAGTGACCAGTGTCCTTCCTCACCCTGTCACACTGTCCTTCAACAGGTTAAAACACAGGGAGTACATTAAAGACACCCAGATTCTCCCTAGTGGGAGCTGCAGAAACACCACAGTCAGAAGCTAAAACCTCATCTTGCATCTGTAAACAGCTTATGTTGCTTTTTGCCAGCGTTTGAATCAAGCAGGGGGGAGTTGAAAGCAGCTGTTCCTCAGTCCCTGCACACAAACCAGCAAGTGGCAGCTGAAGGCAACCAGATCACAGCAAAACACCTTCCATTTCCAGTCAAAGCCACGGAGCAAGGACATCGGAATAAGGAACAAATCAAAGGAGAGTGTTTTCTGCTCCCAGATGTTCTGCTGAGTTATCTGGCATGAATTATTCACCACTTCTAACGAGGGCTTTTTTTTTTTTTTTTTTGCAGGCAGGGAGAGGCAGAGGAGCCAGCAGATCCATCTCCAGCCCCCAGGCAGCTCTGGCTGCAAACTCAGTGTCTGCACACGGAGGAACCACCCAGGGAGCCTGTCCTGCCCAGGCTCCATCCCCAGCAGGACATTACCCACACCCCAGGGACATGCCATCCCATGCCAGGGGGGATGGAGGTGTGACCTGGCCCAGAAATACCCATCACTTCCCTGTTTTCCTTCCCCCTTGCTGAGTCATCAAGATCCAACTTCCTGGAAACCAACCCTTTGAAACTAGACTTTTGGACCTGCCAGTGATATGATGATGTTTTTAATGTTTTCTGTGATGTTTTTGGCATTTGAAAGGGCTTCTAGTCTTTTCTGCCTGGGATGGGCAGTGTGTTGATGAAGGAGAGGTGCTTGCTGGTCCCTCCTGTGACAGGGACATTGGCAGGGCCAAGCAGGTCCCTCTTTGCTCAGTTCAGCCTGGACCTTCAGGGAGTGCTCAAGGGGCAACATGTTATGGGCTGGATGGGCTGCAGGTCTGAAAAAAGGCTTTGGGCAGGGAGGAGGTGGAGAACCTCCCAAGAACAGGGACTGTTTGATGCCACCTGTCCCTCAGGCTCCTGACCTACCTGCCTCCATCAGCCAGGTGTGATCAGACTGCAGCCTAGCCCCTGGCCCCACACTGAGGGTGGGGTGATGAACAGAGACCCTCACCCCCAAATGTGAGCCCCTCCCTCCCATCTAGTGGCCATAAAACCTGCCTTGTTCCTCTTTCTGTGGGAACATCCTCTCATCTCCATCCACTGGTGGGGACCAGGGTGGATCCCTCCTCCATCTACCACTTCAACGAGGAGTCCAAAGCCAAAGCAGAGACACTGGTTAAAGGAGGAAGGAATGAAATTTAATGAGCCAAATGTGACAGGAAAAACCTGAAAAGAATAACTTAAGGTTTTAAACCCAACTGCAGGTGTCTCATGGTGCACCAAGGCTTGGGCACACCTGGAGGCCAACTCTTCATGGTGGCTCATGCCAAGGAGATGCACAATGTCCAGGGAGGAAGGGCCATGGATGGAGGAATCTCCCCATTCATGGTGCTCAGGTGGGTTCAAACATTTCCAGGAGCCTGGAAGTGAAGCATGAGAGGCCTTAGCACCATGAATCTTGGAGATAAGAGTGCTCCTTCTCAGAGGAACCCCCAATGTCAGTAGCTGGAATTCCACACCGTTCAAAAAAAATCAGTGTTTCATGCAAATAGTTTTGGGTGGAATTAAATCTCCCCAGCAGCATTTGCCACTTAACCACCCACATTGCTGAGCTGATCAACAGGAACCAGAGAGAAATGGATTAAAACCAAGATAAAAAGGATGCAGAACAAAGTTCAGACTTTTCTCTGTCTCTGTTTTAACCTTCTGATGTTTAAAGAGATTTTAAGGGAGGAGAGAAGAGATTTTTAAATGTTTCATTTGGGTATTTAGCAATATCAGAAGGTTATTTTTTTTTCCCCATTTCTTTTTTCTTCCTGCCTTTCACAGGGTTGAGGAGAGGAAAAAATGTCTCAGAAAATCAAGTGAGGTAATAAAACCAGTAGGAACTGGCAGGGGAGACTGGGGCCAGCATTAGTCATGTGGATTTTCTTTGACATGGACTAGATTTCAGGCAGATAATTCACCCTAAAAGAAACCTGCTTCTCTGTTTTCCTCAGGCAGACCTTGAGGAACACCCCCCCAAAAAATAAACCTTAACAAGCACCCATGAGACATTTTCCTTAATCTTTCAAATGCTACTGGGCATGTTGATCTTTCTTACCTACAGCTCAGTAGTACAGACATCTCCTCACCAAGTACTTCACATTTTCTTGGCATCAACTAATTCACTGCTGTGAGTTTTTTAAAGGTTTTAAAAGATTGATTCCCACTGGCTGCTCTTTGATGACCACCTGAGCTCCTGGTGGCTTAGAAAATGTGCTGCCACAAACCACACCAACTTCTTTCTTTCCAAGCAGAGAATCAGCACAATTCCTGATGGGCACCCAGGGGGTTGGTGATGTCCTGGTGTGTTTTTAAATGGCAGGAGTTACCAACAAGGTTTGTTATCATCAACTCAGCTTTTTGGTCTTCCTGAGTTGGGATTGTTCTTGTGCTTCTGGGGTTTGGGTTTTGGATCCTCTGCCCCTGGCTGTTTATGTGCAGGATTTCCAATTTTGTAGGAAGAAACAGGAGACCCTGATAAACTCACCTGAAGTTTCTTCTTTTAGCCAGACATGATGTGCTTGACAAAAGCTGAGGAGGAAAAGGAGAGGTGGAAGTGTGGGGTGAGCTGGGGTGGGTTGAGCAGAGAGGCAGGTCCCCCAGCCTGGGACACCCCAAAGATGAAGGGGATGTTCTCTGCCAGAGCTGAGATGTCTCCTTCTTTTCCCACCTTATCCCTGCCATCCCAAACCTTTTTGGAGTGATACCAAACCCCTCCTGGGGACAAAACCTCTTCCACCATCCCCAGCTTCCTGAGGCCAAGGTGCCCTCTCTCCCTCAAGGCTCTCCAGTTTGAGGGGTTCCCAGGCTTAACCCCTCTTCAGTGCCAGATTTTCCTCCTCCTGTGCAAGATGCTGTCTTTGTCTGGCTTTGATGGCTTTCCAGAAAGCTGTGCCCAAACTGGGGACAGAGCAGCCCTGAAACCCTTGGAGACTTGCTGCCTTCAGCTGCTCTTACTGGAAATCCAGCCCAACCACCTTGTTCCCACCCCAGCTGAGATGTCTCACAACTCTCCTCAGGGAGCCTTTGGAGTCCACACCTCCCTCTTGGTGATCACCAGTGTCCTCAAAGGACATATTTTGCACCCTAAGACAAGACAACAACCATGTCTGGGGTGAGCCTGATGGGAATCTCTTGGTCCTACCTTCGTAGTTGATACAGCCATTGGCATCTTCTTGCCCTGCCATGAGCTGCTCCACCTCGTTCTCTGTCATCTTCTCCCCTGGAGAAAGAAGATGGAGAGGTCAGGGGAAGGGTTCTCAGCCTGCCAGGACCCTCCTGTCCTTCTTTCAAAGAGCCAAGGCCACCAGAGGAATGGAAAAAGGATTAAAAAGGAGCTGTGTGCCACTCCAAGCTGAGGAGTGTGGGTGGGAGATTGTGGAGAGAGAACCCAGCTGCAATGATTGCCTGATAACTGAGGATGTTCTGGACTCTCCATCTCACCTGGGTCATGCATGAAGCTGTGGCCTAAGATGGGAAAGGCCACATGTTGAGAGGAGCTGCTCACTCCTGCAAAACCCTGTGAGCAGCAGAACAAAAAGGGTCTCTCCAACACCTGAGACCAGCCAACCAACCCCAGGCGTTCGCCCAGAAGGAGCTTAGGGGGGTGTCCTGTGTCCTGCCCCCCTCCTCAGGACCAGCCCCTACCCAGTGTGACCAGCACATGGCGCAGCTCAGCCCCCATCACCATCCCGTTGCCCTCCTTGTCGAAGACCCTCAGCCCCTCCACGAAGTCCTCAAAGGTCCCTTGCTCCTTGTGGCGGGTGAAGTGCTGCAGGATGGGCAGGAAGGTCTCGAAGTCCAGCACCTTGGTGTTCATTTCTGGAAGGGCAGGAGGAGAAATGGGGTCAGAGACCGACCTCCTTGGGCTGCACTCAGCCTTGGAGGATCTCACAGAGTCATCAGGGTTGGAAGGGACCTCTGGAGATCATCCAGTCCAACCCACTGCTAAAGCAGGGTCACCTACAGTATGTCCTACAGGAACATGTCCAGGTGGGATTGGAATTGTCTCCAGAGAAGACCAACTTCCTGCTCAATCTTCCTGGCCTCATTTCCACCTGAGTTCAGGGGAGAAGCCCCACAAAGTGATGGGACTATTAGCCCATCATACTTGAGGTGGAAAGAACCATATGAGGTATTAACATCTGGGGGCTGCACACACCCTGCTGACACCTCCCAGAAAAAACACCCCCCCCCAAAAGTGACACCCACCAAAAATGACACCCCCCAAAAATGACACCAGAGGTGGCTCCTCTGGCACCAGGGCACTGTGGCTGTGATCAGGTTACACCCGTTGGCACCAGCTGAGGACACAGTCTGCTGAGCATCAGTTGCCACCACCCCCGGGTGAGGACTGCCCACCCTTTAGGGCAGCTGGGGCAGGGGAGTGGGAGGGAAGGAATTTTGCAGGAATGAAGCCTCTGTGTGTCCCTTCCTAGAATCATAGAATCCCAGGATCTCAGACTGGTTTGGGCTGGAAGAGACCATGAAGATCATCTAGATCCAACCCCCCTGCATGGGCAGGGACACCTCCCACCAGCCCAGGCTGCTCCAAGCCCCATCCAACCTGCCCTTCAACACTGCCAGGGAGGGGGCAGCCACAGCTTCCCTGGGCAGCCTGGGCCAGGCTCTCACCACCCTCACAGCAAAGAATTTCCTCCTCATGTCTAAAATTCCCTTCCTAACATCACTCTGCAGGGCTGTTCCTGCAGGGGCTGGAATCCTTTCCCTCGCTGCCAGGGATGGCTTGTCCCACCCTGCCCCAGTCACCTTCTGGCCTGGGCTTGCCCAGCACCTTCAGCACCTCCGCGTTGGTCGGGTTGTGCCCCAGGGCGCGCAGGACGTCCCCGCACTGGGCATAGGTGACCTGCATGGCTCCCGTGGGGCTCTGGTCAAACAGGCTGAAGGCTTCTTTGAACTCTGTGAGGAAGAAGAGCTCATCTCACACCCCACCCCAACTCACACCCCACCGGAGCAAGTCCTGCCTGGCAGGGGAGGGATGGAGGGGTGGGCAGGGGGGTGGTGGGTGCTTGGCCAAGGAGCCACCCAAGGTTGCCAGACTCCTTCAACGAGCCACTCAGCTTCCGGAGC